ATTATCGCCTAGGTTACTGATATTCAAGTCGAAATTACGCAACCATCTTACACCGGATAGCATAAAGGCACTGTTAACGGTCTCATTCCCGAACACTCAGATTCTTGACTTCGAGAAGGGTCCTCCTGGGATTTAGTGGTAGATCAGGTGAAAACCACCAATTATATCATTAGAAACCCCCTGTTTCGAATTGGTTTCTAAATCCACTGCTATCCTTCCCCCCCATAGCGACAATTTTCGCGGTTTTTGATGTCATCTCCCGCATTCCGACCTCATGCGGTCTTTCGGTGGTCACGGTGGAACCCTCAGTCTTCACTGTTTACTAGTAGTTCGGTCGTACCTCCCTTCCTCACTGCTCGGCTGAGCTCGAAGCGTGCTGTGGCCGATCGCATCTCGGTTCCTCTCGTCTGGCCTCTTTGACGCGGTGTACCAATCAGGCCCAGACGATCTCAATTGTGAATCCCGTATACAATGACATTTGCAAGCCACTCCTGTCTGACCCACATTCGTACCCATCAAGGCGGACATTTATTGCTACCCTGACGATGACCGACAACATTCCGTTATATACAGCCACCTACAGGCCAGTCCTGCTCGCTTTTTTCTGTTATTGTTTTTAAAGAGGGGTTTTTTCTCCTGTAAATTTAATCTAATCATTTTTAACTTTTTCTTAGGAGTTTTTTTTACCCCTCAATCATCATGTTTCTCAATGGACTTCTAATTCAGAAACTATGAATTGCATTTTGTAAAGATTCTGCCTACCTCGTCTAAAACTCGCATGCAAATTTATTTTAACTTGCTTTGATGGGACCCCGACGGGTCTTTAATAAAAAATTATCTATCTATCTTACATGCCTTGATCCCTTGTGGTTTAATCGACTTGTAAAGGGACTCTTTTTACTGTAAATGCTTTTATACAATCGTAATTTAACTCGCTTACTACTTTAAAACTTTTCAACCACCTCCAACGTAATAGGCACTGTGAGCTCATTTCGTTTCATCATCTCCAACCCCACAAGTGTGAGGAGTGGAGTCATTCAGGGTAGTGTACTCGGCCCGCTTTTATTTTGCCTTTTCGTTAATGATGTACCCGATTTATTTCAGAATGGTAAGCCTTTCATGTATGCCGATGATCTCAAAGTTGCATATCGATATCAGCCGGCAGATCGTGACATCGTGCTTGAGCTCCTTAAGAGCGATCTACAGGCTTTCGCCCAGTGGTGCCGCAAATGGCAATTCGCTCTTTATTGACATAAATGCTCAGTCATGGTGGTTGGCGACGGCCACCAACTTCAACTAAACATTGAAGGTCACTCCATATATGTGCCCAGGGTTATAAAAGATCTGGGCATATCATACTCCAAGAGTCTCAATCTCTCGGAGCACTGTGCCTCGATAGTCTCCAAAGCACGCAGAACGACCGGGTTTATCCTCTGAAATTTTAAAACTGGGGACATTAGAATGCGCCTTTTCAACATGTACGTTAGACCTGGTCTGGAATACTGTTCGTTTTCATTTAGCCTTATGCGTGCTACTGAGCGGAAGAAAATAGAATCCGTTCAACACTTTTTTCCCAAGAGAGCTTTAACTCCAGAACACCGACATTCGTCTTACCAAGAACGTTGCCGGCTTACGGGCCTTGATCCTTTGTGGTTCCGTAGATTACAAAAATAACTATTTTTGCTATTTAAACTCTTATATAATCACATATTTAACCCACTCACCTCTTTAAGACATCATATACACCCACGACGTAACAGTCACCGTGAGGTCTTTTTATTTCTGCCTCTGGCACGTACTGTTAAATATCGTCGGTTCTATTCTGTAAATGCAATTGCTATTTGGAATAAACTACCCATGAGTGTGAAAACTCTGCAAAATTATCCTTTATTTTAGAGAACTATTTCTCGATTTTTGCATTCAGAAAAGCTCCCCCAAATTGAGGGTACTGAATCCACTGATCGACTGTACCGTAGCGATGGCGTTTGTGGTCTCTGGACACTATGGCCGGTCTCACCAGCTGTTCCTCAACGCCTCTATTTTGGCCATCCCCAACTTCATGAAAGGAATTTGACGTCGGAAAATCTCCGATACCGTGCAACCTCTCCACTTCTTGACGGTCGATATTCTACCACCGCCGGCAGTTTTTTCTTCTGAGCCCTCCAAACCATAAATCCCACCATCAACTATATTTTTATCCCTTTAGCTCAGGAGTTTTTTCACTGCCGGTCGGATTTATGTTTAAACGCTTCCCTTGACAATGCCTGTAAACTGGCATTAAATAAAATTTCTTTTATTTTATTTTATCTGCCACGTCCGTTACATATCGTAATTTGTTTTCTGTGAGCAAAATTGCAATTCGAAGAAAATACCCAGGAAGGCAGAAATATCTGCAAAATTATTCTCTATTTATGAGAACCATTTCTTCATTTTACGGTCAGAAAATATCCCACATATTTTGGATGCTGAATTCATCGATTAAGTCTACCGTACTGAATGGGGTTCGTGGTCTCTGATACTTTTGGCCGGTCTCGCGAGGAATAATTTGTTCAACCGCCATCAAACAACGGCTTTTCAATGCCTCTGATTGGTCCAGTACCAATTTCATAATAACGGAGACTGAAAATATCCGACGCAGTGCTACCGATCAATTTCTTTGCTGTTGTCATTTCTTGGGCAGCAATACTGATTCCCCGGAAACGTCCAAACTACATAACCACCATTATCTTCATTTTTTATCAGGACTTATCCTATATGCTGGCAAAATTTGTGCTCGGTCTTTCCCTGAAATCGCCCGTAAACTGGCATTTTTAGGCTAGATCGCAGTTGGTGGCCAGGAATGCGGAAGCGGACGGCGAACGTAACCCTAATCCTAAACTTCAACAATAGATGACACTTTTCATTTCCTTTATTCATGCGGCTTCAACTTTAGGGTCGCTGAAGCTAAAAGGCTTTCAGCTAGGAGCAAGAATCCACTAATTCTTTTAAAACTCTTTTCATCGATAGAAGTGGATTTTATTTTCTCGCATTTAGGGCGCTCGACTCAATATCTCAGGAGAAATAAACTTTTTATAAGTCGAGATCAAACTCCACTGCAACGAAGAGTTTCTCCCCCATTAACGAACGTAAAGCCATCCCAGAATTATACTCATATGTTTTTTTACCTCCAAAGCAGATTCTCCATCTGGTGTCGACCATATCTCCCCACTATCTGCAGCGGCCCCAGTTTCATCTAGCTCTTCGATTGATCATATTATCACAGAGACAGTTAAAACTAGCCTCTTTAAAACTCCCCCACGAAGCAAGGATTGTTCAAATGCGGCTCCAAATTTTATTAGGGAGCTTGATTTTAACAGTAAAGATGAGCCAGTCCTTGAAGCACAACCGCATCACAGCACTCAGAATAGTGATTTAGTTAATAAAATACATCGAATCCACCCCGTTCCCACGCCTGGCCACTCAGGTCTGAACAGGTGGTTAGGTCCAATAAGCAAGAAGATAGTTCAGGGAGACCTTATAGCGGCCTTACCTCACCAACTAGCCTATACTTTCCTTCTAGGCTCCCTCCTCCCCCTTCCTCCACTAATTAACTACCAACAAGTCTATCCATGTTCTAACTCCCCTAAAATTCCAATGTTTGAAAACTATATCCCCACATCCTTTAGGTCTCATACTCAGCCATCTTAATCAAAAGTTGCATCGAGACAAGATGAGACCAAATGTCAGTGGTTGACGTAAGCTCTCGGCTTCTGTAATTAAGCATGGCCTAACTAAACGTAAGTCAGAAGCTTTACCTAAATCTAAGTCAGATGATATTACTAGTCAGTCGTCACCCGTTGTA